TTGATGTAATCTACTGTAATTTGGTGAGTAGGCCTACCTTTAATATACAGTATTAGTGCGGTGTGTATTGTCAGTGAAAAGCGCTGTAATATGTCTTTGATATTACACATTTGGGCAATTCCACGTTAATGTTACGTTAGTCTGTACTTAACTACGTATTTCACTAAAAATGCAACATTTTAACTCGGTTTTTGGTAGATTTATACGTGACTAACGNATGTTTTGAGGAAAAGTGCTGGGCTATCTGCAGAAATGTTGCTATTTTTGTCTTCAACATGTCTTATATACAGAGGATATATTTTTTTTATTACTCTGAAAACTTCCTGGCTACACACTAAAGGAATTCCTTTGTGAAAATATATGGTAAGGGTATGTTTAATCAGTCAACAATATACAGAAAGCGTCTTTCGATTTCAGTGCTCAAAGCTTTAAAGATCATGCAGATAAGCAAGCAGAACAGAGACTTGGGGATGTCTGAGAATGAAGTAACAAAGGGACTTCAGAAACATGAAGTAATGGGAGAATGAAGAAAATACATAATAAAAGAGTTTTGCAATTTGTGGTAGTGAACAACTTATATTATTATGATAATCTCTAAGAAGGATGAGATGGCCATGTAGCAGAAATTTGTACAGAACTTTTGTTGGAAAACCATTTGTGAAAAACATCAGTTGACAGTCACAGACATAGGTGGAATTATAGCATTACACTGAACGTTAGAGAAATATGTTACACAGACATCAACTGTATTAAAGCAGTTCAGAATGAGATTTAATGTTTGTGATTTGTGATCAAGATGATAGTCATTTGGAATTCCTTGATATACTGAATGACTACCATCCATTCAAAGAATACCCTGTACTAAGAAGCAGGTAGCTGGTCCATTCTTATGTTTACCTACCATTGGCTTCAGTCAATCCTCTCATTGCCATGGTCCTGCCATCAAAAGTCAGATCCATGCTGGTATTTTGTTTCCTCTTTTTTCTTTCTTTGGCTACAATGGTACATTCCATTTTTTTCTTATTAGAATATCTACTTTTCTTATTATGCGTAAGTACTCCTCTAGTACTCTGCACACACTTTTTATCTGAATCTTCAGCTGCAGATTCAAGACTGAATAGCATACTTTTCTGTGGTGAATGGCTAGCGCCTTGCCGTGAGAGTTCTCTGGAAGTACTATCTGCTCTGAGAGATTGCACCATTTTCTTAGACTGTGACAGACCAGAGTCTGAATTATTACTGGCTTCAGCTTCTGTGGGAAGTGAAGCAATGCAAACACGACTGAGGGGAACAATGTCTCTTGCACATGGACTGACAGGTTTCCAAACTCTCTTAGGATATGATAAACCTATGGCTGAGCTCATAAGTTGCTCACTTTTCTTGGAAAGTGACAAATTAATTTGACCTGGAAGTTTATGACCTCTCTCAGAATCTGGAGAATTAACATACTGCTCATTTTCCTCAGAAGAAGGAGATTCAGTAATTTGACCTTGAGATTTCTGACTTCTCCCAGAATATGGTGATCCAGTGTTTGAGCTATTAGGAGGTTTATCTTTCTTGGAAACTGATAAATCCTTAGTTTTGCTGAGATGTTTCTCGCCTCTCTCATAATATGATGAACCAGTCTGAGGGCGAAGAGACTGCCTATCTCCCACTGAAAGCGATAAACTACTGACTGCACCAGATGGTGAAAGTGAGGAACTATAGTTCAAGCTATTCGCATGTTGCAGAGCTAATGAAGGAAGACTTGAAATACAAGATTGTTCTGGTTCAATAACAGAACACAGACCATTTAACATCCCACCTTCTTCTTCTTCATGTTCTTTTACACCACAGTTTCCAGTGCCTTCAAGTAGGAGTGAGGCATTAGTGACAAGTTTGTCTGTTTTATTCCCATGTACTGCCTTCCTGCCTCTTTTCTGATCTTCTAACATATGTTTCATCACATCCATACTGTTACAATCCAGATTATCATACATATTTGTCTCTTCCTCTGAACTCTCTGAAAATTCTTTTAAAAAGTCCCAAAAATCATCTTCAGAAGCTAGAAGAGAACGATCAGAGCAGTAGCCTGTGTTGTTCTGAGGAGACCTCTGACAGATGTCCTTTGCAGCTTGCAATGGAACTGCAACATTGTTATTCTCCTCTGCAGTAAAATTTGTGTGTACATTAGATGAAGAATGGAAACTAGATGCAACATTTTGATTACATCTTGTTCCATTACAATCACTGTGCATTTCCATAACTTTATCTGATGAGTGGGCAGAAGTTCTTTCCATGTACATGTTCTTAGTATCATCTGTCTCTCTTCTGTGCACTCCAAGTAATGGTTTGTAGACATATTTCATAGATTCTTTACTGGTCACACCTGTTTGTATTTTCCTGTTACCTGTGTCATCAGCAACCTCATCCTTCTCTTCAGAACTACAGCCTTGATCTTGATAAACGAGTTTCTTTCCACATGTTAAGGAAGACAAGCCTTCAGAAGCTGGAATTTTAGAATTGCTAGCAGCCATGCCACTGGATGCTGAACCTAAATTGAAGACATCCTGAAGAAGTATTTCTTCCGTTTTGTCAGTCACCTGCCTTTTTGGCGGTGGCACATCAATAACTGTGCTTTTACCAGTAATTCTCACATTCCTCTTTTTTACTCCATAATCACTTAATAGTTCATTATCTTTTATAGCAACAATTTTATTTCCAGCAGCATGTTCTGCTTCTGTATTTGAGGAGGACAAATGCCTAGTGTCAAATGTACCTGTAGCCTGAAGACATGGAAGAATGTTAATTTCTACAGGAACTGTTTCTTCCATTCCTTCATTTTCCTTACTACGAAACAAGTCAAAATGTGAGTGCCGATTTTCTACTGCATGCGTTGCAAATGTTCTAACACTGTGATTGAAACAAGATTTCTTCCTAGGCGAAATATGATTCTCAGCAGCTGGTTTACAGAATTTATTCTTTCTAGTTTTAGGTCTGATAATGCTCTTCTCAGCTGTAGGAAATGACGACTGGCTCTTGCATTGTTTGGGACACAAGACCAATCCCTTTTTCTGTCTATTTGAGCAAATCATTCTGTTCTTATTTTCATTACTTATTTTTGGATCTTTAACAGTTTTGGATACTTTCTGTTTTCTGCGTTCTAACTGGCTAAAAACACTATCATTTTCTTTCTCAACATCAGACACTATTAGTTGTTTCCTTTTCTTTTTATTTGGGAACATTTTTCTTCCCTTTTTCTCATAAGTTATTTTAGGCTTCTGAACAATTTTTGATGCCTTTTGTTTTGTAGGTTCCATCCAGCTAACAACACTGTCACTGTCTGTCTCAAAGTCAGAGTACACTGAACTGTACACCGGACGTTCCACTATTTCTCTGCATTTCTTTTCACCTTTATGCTTCATTACTTCCTCCAAATACCTGTTACGCCACCTACCACTGAAATTCTTCATTGAATCCTGAGTTGATTTTGATACATGCAACTCTGCTCTCTGTGACAGTCCTCCAAAACTTGAAACAGTAACACAAAATTGATCCCTTTCACTGCATGCTGAAAAAGGTTCTTCCTTCTTTCTTTCTCCCTTTCCATCTTGAAGTTTCTTAGTCACTGTTCCATTTACATTACTTTTTCTGCCTAACATTAATCTTCTCTTTGCCCCTCTGGAAGGGCATGGAATGCGAGGAGTGGATATGCCAGAGTGGTCATCACAATCTTTCGGTTCTATTAATTCATGACTCTCATCTACAGAATACAGTCTCCTTTTTCGAGATGGTGTTTTAATGCTATCATTGCTTGTTTCTTGGGTCTTGGATAGCTGAGTAAGTGCTTCTGGTGAAGGAACAATCTTGGTAATTGGTAGCCCTTGCATTTGTTTCAAATTATCTTTTTTTGGGCTTGAACACACATGTTCTAACTGATAAGATGATTTTACAGCCTTTCGTGCATGTACTTTCTGAGTACTACTTGAATTTAAGGCACCTTTGGCTTTTGAATTCTCACTCAATATCAATTCCTCATTTCTGGATTCAGATGTATTTTCGACTACATTTTGGAGCTTTACTGAGATTGTATGTGATATTAATGGTGACTTAGAATGTTTGTTTAATTCCTCATTCACTGTTAAATCTGGATTCTTTCCATTAGTATTTGAAGCTTCACCCAACAGTAACTTTTCATGCTTATCATCAGCCTTATTAATGTCCTTCTCTTTAAGATGCTGCTGTAGGATAACTGCTGGTGGATTTGTAATCATATCCACATCATGGGGCATCACATTCTTACAAGGTGGCTGCTCATCCTGTAAGCATTCATCACTTCTGACTCCCTCTGTGTCACTGTCCCATTCACTAATTAATTGCTGAAGCTTGGAGAGGTCAAGGCTGGAATGATTTGGCTTCCTGATAACAGAGTGCTCTTGAATACCCTTACTGGTATTCTTCTTTGAGTCCGTTTTTGAAACAGATCTTGATATCTTACCAGACATTTTGCTAGATATGGAATTACTGTTTATGGAACAATCATCTTTTGAAGAGGTAGTTATATATTTTTGTTTCTTTGGGCCACAAGAAATGTCAGAAGGGGATCCTAACTTCCTGCCATTAGAATCACTATGCTCTTGTGCACTGTGAGAAGACAGAATGTCATTTCCTAAAATATTAGGAACATCAGCACTTTTACCATTTATCATATGATCATGTTGCTCTTCTGGGTAATTGTCTGAAGAAGTATGAATTTTAGAATGGACCCTTCCTAATGTCTCTTCAACGTCATGAGATTTCCCATCATTAATCACTGCACTGAACCCTGAACTATCTTGATTACCAACCATCCTACCTTCGTTGACTATTCCAGGACACATAACCATCTGAGGTTTCTGCAGAACCTGTCTCAGTTTGTTGGTAGTTGCATTTGCAGTAACATCCATCTGGTGGCGTTGATGTAGCTCAGAACTCTTCCCTTCACCAACTGCCATATTATCCGTTTCTTTAAATCCGTCATTCAATGCCTCATTAGTAGAAGCCACCTGTTTATTGGATAGATTGTTTTTCAACATGAGATCTACAATACTTCCACCTGACATATGACATGAATTTTGTCTGTTAACCACAGAAGTGTTGATGAAAATCTGTTGTTTATTTTGAAGTACGTCCGACATTTCAGAATTGAAAGATCGAATCTTTTCTTCACCTTCATGGATAAGTTTTTTGGGACTCCAGCTTAATATTGTAGAAGGAATGCATTGTCCATGCAAATTATCTGCAGAATTTGATGCTTCACCTTCTTCTAGTGGTTTCTGACCTAGTTCTATGGGCCTGCATGCTGTTGGTTTCGCCAATGAATCAGAGATATCCACAGAAAAATTTGTCACTTCCACCTTTTGTTTGGTATTCAGTCTTTCAGATCTCCTGGTTGTCTGTTTTGAACTGGTCTTCTTCTTAGCTTCAGTAAAGTGTAATTTGTTTAGTACTTTCTTTTTCAGTGATTTACATTTTCTTTTTGAATTGTTAGCTGTTGGTTCTATTAGTGAATCTGAATCAATCATAGCACAGTTTCCCAACACCTTCTCTTGTTTTTTATGCAGTCCTGAAGACTTCTCCATTCCCTTTCTGGAATTTACCTTCTTTTTATGTTCAGAAATATTGGATTTATTTTGTACATTATTTTTCAATGCCTCAGATTCTTCCTGAGGTTGGTTATATGGTCCTAATTTGTTAACTGTTGGTTGTGGCACTGAATCAGAGTTAACACCATGATCCCTTAGTTCTTCCTGCTGCCTGTAATTTAATTGCATCTTTCCCTCAACTTTGTTTCTGGTGTTTGATATTTTCATATCTTCAAGAAAATCTGAATCATGTTGCACATTACTTTCCAGTAAATAAATTTGTTCCTGAGATTTCTTAGTGACCTTTCTTGCTCTTATAGCTATGGATTTCACTAACGGATCACGGTTATTCACAACACAGTTCCCCATCTCTTCCTGCTGTTTGTTACGCAGTCTCAAATGAACTTTAGTAATGTTTCCACAATTTGCTGTTGTGTTATTTTCAACACAATCTTCTGAGACTGGAACTTCCCCCTGTTCATTATTACACAGCTCTTTAGTTGCGCCTCCTGTCATCCTAGAGCTGGTGGCCCGTGTAACTTCACAATAACTGGACGGGTTGGGTGCATCAAGTTTTAATGTTGAAATTTCAGTCTCTTCAAGAGGTTTGTGCAATAAGTTTTTTGCTTTCTCAGTGGATGTATTTCCTGTAGCAGCCTTTTGAAATTCTAAGGTCCTGACTGAAATAGTGTCTGAGGCTGATGGTTTAATACGTTTATTACACAACTTTTGGGATTTTCCTTTAAATGTTGCATTGGATTTTGCCGTATGTTTAATATTTTCAATATCAGAATCATTTTGTACAGCATTCTCTGTAGCCTGGCATTCATCCTTCTCTTCATACTTATACAGGAATGTCTCTGACTTGTCAGTTGTATTTCCATTATCTGAAAGTGTAGTCTGTTTTGGTGATTTATCAGAAACATCCTTGGTCCTATGTAACAAGAGTACCTTTGTAATTCCCATATTCTTCATTTCTCTGGATACTGAACAGCTCTCCAGAACTGATCTCGCAGTCATTCTTTTATTTTTATCCTTCTGAACCTCTGAATTGCTTTGTAAACTAGCTGAGACTGACACTTCAGCAAGTTCTTCAGGTTTGTGTAATAATTCTTTTGATTTCTCACACAAAATTACTTCAGTATTTGTTACCTTCTCAACTTTTTTAAACTTTGCACTGTTTTCTGAGCTGTCCCCATTCAGTGCTTGAGGTTTCTGTAATAATTTTCTTGCTCTCTGAAGTGATGTTTTGGAGACTACTGTACCCTTCTTGGAGTCAGAATTTATCATGGAAATATTTTCTGATAATTCTGCTCCATCAGATTTTCCAATAATGGAACTTGGCTTGAATTTGTATGTACTATTTGCAGAGTCTACAATTAAGCTGGAGCCTTTGTTACATTCCTTTGTTTTATGAAACCTTTCCTTTCCAATATCTTTCCTAGCAATATTTTGTTCCATTACTTTGGGTCTGATATTTTCTTTCAAACTTGACATGATCCTGCCTGGTTTATGATCCACACTTTTTGTTTCTTCATTAAAAGATGTCTTCTTTATTTCACATTGTTCTATTGTGTTGGAAATGCTGTTTTTCATATTCACATCCACCTTTTGTTGTTCAGACGAAAATAATCCAAAACCTACTTTAATACAGGAAAACTTGGCTGACTTCACTCCATAGCCTAAGAGCTTATGTTTCACAATTTTATTTTCTATCCTATCTATTCTTGAAATATGAATGGTGGGTGTCATGCTTGCACTGTGTGAAGCAATGCGGTCCATTCTCTGGCCTACAGACTCACAGTTCCCTTCTCCTCCTCTACTGCAATAGGAAACTGAAGGAACAGATTCTGAGTACCTGTCATTTCCTTTTTTAACCAAGTCGCTTTCTTCACTGTGCTGTTTCAAATTATCATCCTGACTATTCAGAAAATTTGCATCAACTTTAGAAATGGGAGGAAAAGCTGGGGATCCACTATTGGTGGATATTTCATACTGTGGACTTGCATGTACACCAGTAGATATCTGTGATAACTTTTCTTCACTGATATGGCTGAGCTGAGGACTAATTATGAGAGAAGGTGGATTTTTCTTGTACCTCTCAATATGGTGCTCTGCCAGTATTTCCCTCAAGCCCTACAACAAATTCCAACATAATTAATTAGTGAAAACATAAGTTTCAGAAGCTAAAGACAATGTGAAATTTCTCTAGTGAACATATAACTTAAATTTTTGGGTGAAAAGGGTAATTTGGTGGTATGATTCACTAGAAGTCAAAAATTGAACTTTCTGTGTACAAACAGGATTTTAGGGCACATCCCTTCTCCTCATAAAAAGAAGACAGAGCTCTGTCGATTTCAGATAAATATTATCAACAATCTGCTCAAATGTACAGCTGGGATATATAGACAAAAGAAGTTTTCTCCTTTCATAAGATCTGTATTCTGTGTAACACCACATAAAGATTCAGCCATCTGTGGGTGGCCTTGATCAGATGGGTGTCTGAATAGAGATAACGGAGCATGTAGGAACGAAATGCTTAGCAATAATTACAATTACCAATATAAGTTCTAATATTCTAATTTCTTCAGGAAACAGTTCAAGGAGTAACATGAATCTCCTTCCTCTATGACGGAACATAGTCTTCAGTGCCATGATAATATTATGACGTGGATGGCATAGCAGGAGGTGGGGGTCACGTGAACTCTGTGATCTCGTGAGTGACATCACATACCCCCCATTCCGTCCATCAGTGTGCAATGCTCGGTAGACACCCCTTTCCCCGCGGTTACATAATATGGGACGCTGCAGTTGCTACATAGCCGTAAACAACTCCCAGCAGCGCTGCCCAGCAACGCCTTTGTAAACACAGCGGGGAGTCCATGCAACGACTGTTCCTAGGCAGTTGGTAAACATGACGTTACGCAACAGTGGTGCCTATTACGTAACTGTTTTCTGTGTTGTCCGTAACGAGGCTAAATAAGGAGCAGCGAACACTATTCAAGAGTTAGTTAGGAGTTAGCCAGGGAGTGAGTAGTCAGTCAGTAGTTAGCCAGTTTGTGAGTAGCAGTTACTAGTGAGTGAGTTACTAGAGAAAGAGTAACCAGCCCATAGCTGTCTATCTTTTGTTGGAGTATTTGTGATACTGCCAATGGCAGTAATGTTAAGATTGTAAATGGTGCGACTGTAAGAGTGAATGTGCAATAAATTCACTATATCCAATACGGCGTGAAGTTATTTGTCGCGTGTCACACACCCAACATGTGACAATATATTGATCATAACTTTGCAACTACTGAGCTGACAAAATTATCTAATTATCTGATATTTATTTCTTAATACAAATCCCAATAAACAATTCTAGCAAATGCAATTAGATCTACGTATGGCTTGCATTCAGGTGACTGGATAAAGAATCTCAGGTATGGTATTCTGTAGGTGTTTTCTCCAAAGGACTCTCAGAGTAGTACTTTATGCAAATCAGTTTTTATGTGACTCATCAGTCATAATCATTCTAACAGCCAATGCAAAATAAAGTGCCAAATTTAAAATTACAGATATCACAATACAGAGTTGACCACCTCTGTGGTCTAGTGGTCAGAGTTCCTGGCTACAGACCTTGAGGTCACGGGTTCGATTCCCAGCGCTACCAGATTTTTGAGAACTAGTGGGTCTGGAACCTGGTTCACTCAGCCTCGTGAGGATAACTGAGGAGCTATTTCAAGCAAATAGCGGCTCCAGTCTAGAAAACCAAGATTAACGGCCATGGGGATCCATTGTGCTGACCATGTGACACCCTCTATCCACAAAAAGTTGGCACTAACTTCACCGGCAAGCGACGATCACTCGGTCGGTATAGTTCGCTTGCGGACTAAAACGACAGAGTTTGTCGCCCCTAAGAAATGTCCTCTCTCAATTAGCAATCCCACTAAAATCTCCGTTTCTGCGATCAGATGTACCAACACCTTCAACAGTGCTCCTAATAAGCTTTCATGATGAATCTGTGTGTGTCTGTGTATGTACGCATGCACTTGCACACATACTTGGAATAATTAGGGTATGGTGAAATATAAAGTTGTTTTAACAGAAAATTGTTTTACTGCTGCTGTTGTTTCATTTTGTGACTGATATGAATTTTAGTATCATAGTCAACATTCTAATTGGGTACAGTGCCTATGATGTCGTCTAGTTATGTACACTGGGTATGATGAATATGTCCATCATTCCATTGTTCTGTCCATTAAGCAATGGGTATACTGAATTGTACTAGTTACTGGCTCCTTTTGTGGATCATAAATGACAACAACATGTAATACTTATGGAAGAGGTGGAAAAATTATGATGTGCATGCAAATGCAGTCTCCAAGGTGAATTTGGCAGGCTCATAGACACAAAAATGCATAAATATGTACTGTGCATTCATCGGCATGGATGTAATTTTATATGAACTGTACATCAAATGTTGCAACCCATAAAAGCCTTCTGAATTTCCAGAAGAGCCCATCTCTTATCTATCAGATGAAACTTCAAAATTACTGGTATTCTAATAGTTCTTGTAGATTACAGGAGAAAGAACATGATTCATCTTCTGAAGAATGCAGATGCAAAGGGAACAACACATGACCTCCCTTCAAAGAGTGTTATGTTTTAGAAATTTTGAAATGATCATCAAATGAGTCACCAGATTCTATTCTGTCTCAATTTTGCACAGGAGTTTTTCTTAACTGCACAAATCTAATATTGTGGTGAGTCTGGAAAACAAATGATTATGTGGCATACATATGGATCATAACCAATTTTATTCCATTTTAAAAAATACTCTTCAAACACTTAAAAATCTGCTCCCTAAGAGAGATCTTTTATCTCTCATCTTCCTTCATAAATAAGGAATTCTAGTAAGTAACTGACCGCCTCTGTGGTCTAGTGGTCAGAGTTCCTGGCTACAGATCCAGGGGTCTGGGTTCGATTCCTGGCGCTACCAGATTTTCTGAGAACGGGGTCCACTCAGCCTCATGAGGATAATTAAGCAGCTATTTCAAGGAAATAGCGACTCTGGTCTAGAAAACCAAAATTAACAGCCGTGTGGATTTGTTGCGCTTACCACATGACACCCTCTATCCACTAAAGTTGACACTAACTTCGCTGACAAGTGGCTCTCGCTCAGTTGGTATAGCTCACTTGCGGACTCAGGCAACAGAGTTTTTTTTAGTGAGTAACTATTCATATTAACAACAACCCCCAAAGTACTGAACCCTCATTTTGTTGGTTTCCTGTGAAATATTAGAGAAAGGAGCCCTTTAGAGTGCTGTCAGGTGCAGGACGGTATTTAAATCTGTGTGTTTCAGAATGCTATATGCAGAGAATATTTCACATAAGCAATACAGAATTTCACTAAAAAATTTAATCAATGTGATGCTATCCAAAGTAGCTTACATCTTATAACAAGATGATGTTGAAGTTTTGGCCTAAATACAGGTTTCATTTAATATGTGAAAATATCATTTTGCCATTATTACCTTGCTGGGATCAGGTGTCTCAATATCAGGGCTCTCCAATACAAGATGCTCATCAGCTTTCAGGGGTTCATACGGAACTGCATTCTCTGCCTTCTGAATGACTATAACGTCAGTCCTACCTGCAGCTGTTCCTAAAAGGAAATACTCACTTGAAAGCTATACATTAAGCACAATTTGCATCACTTCACAAGTGACACAAACTGATAATAGAACCTGAAAATTCAAAACTGCTAGTACAAAAGCCAGCCACTGGCTATGATCCCAACATACTTCAATCCACTTCACAGTTTCATGAGGTATTTAATTATGACCATCAACATACAGCATTTTTTTTTGCTTACCTTTATGGTATGCAGTCTGTTGTGTGTTATTTATGAATAGATATAAGTTGGGACAGTCGCACAATAAATAATAAAAAAGAAACAAAATAGGCACTACTGTGTCAATGTTTGCTTTTATTACCTTTTAGTGGTATCACTACATATTTCGAACCCTTTCTTGGGTCATCCTCAGGCATAGACGAATACTGTTAAGCTTCTGAATTGCGTCATTAATCAATATGAATTCATACTGTGCCCGTGTGATTATACTATTCTATTTTACCACCTTCCTTACAGCTCTGATCTCACTCCAAGGTGCTACCACCTGTTTACCTACCTGAAGACCTGATTGGGATCACAGTGCTTTTACAACAAGGAATTGATGGAAGGTGTCAGAACGTGGCTGAGCTCACAGGCGACAGACTTCTTTGACACAGGCAAACAAAAACTTATTCCCGAATATGACAAGTGCTCCAATTCCGAAGGCGACTATGTTGAGAAGAAGCTTAAGTATGTACTTACTTTTTGCATATAATATTTTTTTTTCCTCACTGCTTGTTTTGTTAACAGTTCACCAGAGATAAATTTTTTGCATATAATACAATTTTTTGTCATTGCTTGTTTTGCCAACAGTTCACCAGATATAACTTTTACAATAGCCTTTGTATGTTTTGCCTTCCTCTACACATGAAACATTGTCATTCTGACTGGCTGGCTTGCACTGAACTATTTGGATCCTATGATGGGCTGCAGGTCACTAAGTGATTCACAGCAATGAAATCACAAACCTCAGAAATGGACTTCTCATTCTGGTGGGCAGCCAGAAGTTAAGAGGACAAAAAGTTTTACAACTACAGCTACACGACTTTTAGAGTACACACTTCACATCTACAACAGCATATGACTCTTTCCAAAAAGGATAGGAAAGATGGGAATTTTTTATGTATATTTCACTTGACAACTGCGTAACAGCAAAATTTCTTAACTGAGAAAAACTAACTACTCACTGTGTTCCTGGTCACACATAACCGAGAAGACAGACAATGGTTTAAAAGTCAAATATCATACACGAAAACAGTACAAAGCTTACATCCACATTTAAAACCTGAGTTCTTATTAGACAGAAATTCAAATAACCAACACAATAATTTTTTTCAGTCAGTAGGTGTGTACTTCAGTAGTTTAAAATTTCAATTTACATGTTTATACAGTAGAACTTGGTTATAACGTCATCAAAGGGACCTAAAAATAGTGTCGTTATAAACGAATGTTGTTGTAACCGAAATGGGCACTTCCACAGTAGCCTTATGTTAGTCACGTAAAAATCTACCAAAAACCGAGTTAAAATGTTGCATTTTTTAGTGAAATACGTAGTTAAGTACAGACTAACGTAACATTAACGTGGAATTGCCCAAATGTGTAATATCAAAGGCATATTACAGCGCTTTTCACTGACAATACACACCGCACTAATACTGTATATTAAAGGTAGGCCTACTCACCAAATTACAGTAGATTACATCAATTGTTGTGCCTTACTGTACCTAGATACGAGTACAGTAATCAGTTATCTTCATCTGTTTCCTGTTACTTGCCCAATACACACTTTCTAAATTACGTTCAATGTCCATATCAGAGAAATTCAGGAATGAAAATGACGTTACATACGAGGTTGATGGATTTGTGCATGTCGTACTAAGCAAGGTATAAAAACAGTTGCTTTATGAGGAATTAGTTCATACCATTGAATATTTGACGCAACAGACAAGGTGTCGCAGAAACCGATGTTGCTATAACCAAGTTTTACTGTATTTCATTCACTAATATATTAGTTGAAAGTTTTTTCAACAGATTATCTTCTTTGGTTCCAGTCTCCAAAGACCATACATAAAAGTAGGCAAATTAATGCCATTCAGTTTTTTGTTTAATTTGTTTTACTAAGATCAAACAGTTACTGTTGCCGCTATATAGAATCTTAAGATAGTTTCCTGTTAATCTTGCTGCAGTTTCTCCTGTCTGTTACCAGGAGGTAGTTGCATGCAGCAGTCCAACACACACAGGATGAAAGTAAATGATACTAGTGCTTAAGAATTTGTCTGATCAAACAAATAAAGTATTAATTACTTACAGCACCAATCAAAAAGCCAGACAGTTTAAATGATTATAAATACTGATCATTCAACAATCATGGTATAACATAAAAGTGAAAGGAGACTTGCCTTGGCCTAAACTACTTCTACAATTCCTGGGGCTTTTTGTGATCTGAAGAGGCTTGTACTTGCTCATATGGTCAAGTGTGGTGCTGTTGTTGACACTTACAGCAGCCACCCCACTAGTGCTCACTGCAACATATGCAACATGCAAATCAACAGCAAAGCATTTACATGGCTACATATAAATAATGGAAGTCCACTTTTGATGGGGCAAAGGAGCCCAAGAGACAGTACCTTCACAAGAGCTTGCTCAGAGCTGATCCTCAGTAAACCTAGGGGCAATAGTCTCTCCATGTTTAAGACTGTCGTGCATGGTGAAGAACAAGAGCCTACTCAAGGTGTACTTGTTTACATAAAACACAATGGATCTAGATGTTACTGTCAATGAAAGGCCCAGTGCACATTGACTCAATGTGAGGTTACTGGTCAGGGTCCCTTGTTGAAGGTCAATGGTAAAATCCACAGTGAGAGTGAAGATGATGTGACTAAGAAACCTGGCAGAAGTGGTAATCTTTCCTGTGGGATTAAAACTCAGGGAGTCTGGCCAGGAAGCCTTATGACAGCAGCCCTATCACCTATCTTTTTCCTGTGAGGCTCATCAGCCCAGAAGACTCAGTGACTCAGCTACTTAACTACAACTGGTTAAATGAACAGAGGGCATTACAGGCATCAAAGAGATAAAAGAAGCATTTGAGCTAACCAGAGAACTAAAGGAAAAGACAGTAAACACTGCGATGGTATCAGAAACAAAGAAACATTTAAAATGAACCAAGATATTACAGAACTACAGCCTGTACAGTGAAATGGACTGAGAGAAAAAAGCAGCCAATGGAGTAGCAATATTAATTGATGACACTTTACACAATTATCCCATGAGTAACAGAGGAAAAAATGGAAAGTAACACACAGTACTATGTTTTACTGAATTTGCAGTTGATTTTGTACACCTACTGTCATAACTGGAAGTTACATTCTAAAATTATTAGCCTAAATTATTCTCCTAGCCTATTGAGAATATTTTATGATACAATGAACTGAGTAAATACTTGATATCTGTGTTCATCTAAATTACTGTGCATATACATCTGTATTTCACTTTATTAGGAAATCTATGCGGAACAAGTGATGAGCTGTAACTGTAACAGAGCAGATATATTTGTGAAATGTGCTCATATGGAGACAATGTAATTTGTTTTGACCAGGATTGGCCAACTCTTCTCCAAGTATAATTAGAATGATCAAGTAAGTAGGATGAGGTGGGCAGGGCATGTAGCACGAATGGGGGAGACAAGGAATGCATACGGGATATTGGTGGGAAAGCCAGAAGGAAAGAGACCACTGGGAAGACCTAGTCCTCTATTCAATGACTTTAAATGAGCATGTTTTAGTATTTTTAATGTCAGTTCTGTTTGTACAGCTTATTATCTTTGTAAACTTCACATCATTAATTACTAATTTTTCATAATTCCAGTCTCTAATTTCTAAATTCAGAACATTTCAAAATGGTATGCTTCATGACCTTATCCCCATCGTATAAGGGATAAGATAAAAGTAAGGTAGAAAGGAAAGCCATCAGTGTGCTTAATTAATTACGCACCTTGCCATGGAGACATATGGGGGAGTGGAGGTATAGCTGCAGCATTTTTGACCTCTGTACTAGACAGAGATGAGTGGTCGTTTCACGCTCGCTTTACCCCCAGGAAAAGAGCCCTCATTACCCATTGGATAGGAGGCTGAATAGACACCAAAGCTTGTCTGGACACTGCAGAATAGAGAAAAGTCTATTGCCTCTGTCAGAAATCAGGCTCCAGCCCTCCAGCCTGTAGTCCATCACTTTATTGACTGCGCTATAAGGGACACCTTCATTTTCCTACTTCTCTTCGTCTTGTCATTTCACAGTTCCTCAGTTCTCACAATTTCAAATCTCTTCATGTATACCTTTTATAGCTCAATATGGCTATGGGCTGGACAACCAAAGAATTGGGGTTCAATTCTCAGCAGAGAAAGGAGATTTTCTCTTGTCCACAGTATTTAGACCAGGCTCCTATTTAATGGGTACTTGTGGCTCTTTCTTCAGAGGTAAAGTGGCTGGGATGTGAATTTGACCACTCACCTCCATCTAGTGTCAAGGGTAAGAATTCAAGGAGATATACTATCACTCCCCCATACATCTTCATGGCGTGATAATTAATTAAGCACAGGAATAACTGTACTTTAACTTCAGTATATTTAATTTGGAATTCTGACGACGGAAACTATGAAGAGTATGTTTTCTGGATATGACATTATATAGGCTGTTAAAAGTTTACCTCCATTTTGAAGGGTCGAAGGAGAAGCCAAGCTAGGAGCAAGCAGAATGAGCTCTACTTGGAAAACATGGTGAGACATATATGTGGAAGGGGGTCTGGATCCAACTGGAGCAAGAAGAATAATAAGGAATATGGCCCTGAAAACCATACGTATACTGTACTTGTTATGACATTGCTTCATGATTGTGTCCTATCATCAACAGACTTTCCCTTTTGGTAGCACTGAGAGGGCCAATCACTTACTTACTTACTTACTTATTTACTCATGGAGCTGAGCCCTTCTGGAGGAGCCGCCAATTCTGCAGCTACTCAAGAATTTCCCAGCATTTTATGGAACCCGAAGGTTCATTACTGTGTTCACAAGAGCCCTCTACCGGTCCTATCCTGAGCCAGTTCAATCCAATCAATACCCTCCCATCCTATCTCTCTAAGATCCATAATATTAAATTAATATGAGGCAATATGAAGTTAGAACATGTTACAGACAATTTAAATGAGCCCAGAATATATCAAGTTTGTAAACTTACATGAGATCTGTTCATTGGAATACTCTGGTATTCCATAATATATGAATCTACATCATTTGACAATTATCTCAGTAAATACTGTTGTTATTGTTAGGAATCAAGGTTGCGCTTTATGCCTACAAACGAATACAAGATATGCCATCATCCTACTTACTCCAAATCTGAGGCTGCGCCATAGATAAGGCAGTTAGTTGCTGGCTGCCCACCATGGTAGCCTGGGTTCGATCCCAGGTCTAGTCATGTAGGATATGTGGTGGACAAAGTGGCACTGGGGCAGGTTTTCTCCAAGTACTTCAGTTTCCCCTGCCAATCCTCATTCCTCTGACTGCTCCACACTCATCATCTATCATCCGGGGCTGGTGCAATAGGCTAATTAGTGGTCAACATATCGAGTGGACTAAGACTCAGCCCAATTAAAAAAAAAACCGTCCAAATCCAGGTAGTGACAGGTGTACGATCTCTCTTATTAACAGAAGTGTTTATAGGGGCAATAAATCCATTGTTATTTACTCACCAAGTTTAGAGATTAGACCAGAGTCATTTTAAATTTTAAATAAAAACATAAACCACTCGTAAAAGTGGAAAACATTACAGGAAGAGTAAACATTCTGACAAATATTTGCAGAAACACAAATCCTGTCATAATTAGAATACACATGAGAGCAAGGAATGTTATGAACTTACTTTTTAATGTCCTTTGGAATGAAGAGTGATGTGTTCGTCCAGGCAACTTAAGATTTGAGGAACGTGGAACTTGGTCCTTCCCAACAGCATTCATATCCTGCAAACGTTTTAGTCATAGTTAGACTTTTGATGCTCTGGTGCAAGCCTTTTCATGAGCTTCTAGTCACAAGCAGGAACTGTCTTTCTGGTGGTTGTGGCAAAAATAAACAAATAAAACCTTGTTGGAGTTGTTTCAATGTCAACAGCAGTCTCCCCTATTTAAATGTCACCTTCATCTTCCCATGATATAACCTATTTTTAAAGTGATTAACATTCTGACAATTGAGACATGGAAGGAAAAAACATTAATTAGAGTATATAAAGGTATATAAAGCCTGAAAAGAATCTCAAATGATAGTAACCTTACTGTTAGACTTGCTACTGGTATATATTGGTCTTCAGTTTGATAATGCAGGGGCCAAGGCTATATATACATCAAGCAGATAACCACACAAAAATTATGTTCATTGAATTTTACTGTATTTAAAAATAATTATTCAGGATTATGCATGCACTCCTAGTAGTGGTGCGCATGCGCAACTCTGCTATCAGTTTTTAAATGCCCGAGTGCACAAATATGTGTACTTTGGCCAAAACAAAACTACCTATCACTGTACCGATATGTGTACTTCGGATGCTAAAAGGTTAAATTTATATTACTGACAGTAAGGTAAGGTAAAGCTATCCCTGTAACAGGCCATGAAGGCCCACAGGGTTGTGGACTGTCAAGGCTCACACATCATCTAGACAATCACAGATGGCGGTAAGGCTGTCAGCCTTATGTGCCAGCCGCCCTATAACCACAAGAAAATTCCTGGTACTCATGTCTGTTAGAGGCTGAGTCAACCCCAGCGTCATAGTGTAGCTGGCAGGATTAGGGAAACTGAAAAAATCCCATAACCACATGATTTAAAATCAATGCTATCAAAAATTAATCACTGATTTCATCTATATGTCATGTATTCTATGCATAGTTACCTGAAAAACTTCACCAAACAGCATTGGCAAGACCTTATCCATCAAACAGGTCAGGCCTGAACACTGCTCAAATATTATTTTAATTTGTTTTGCAGATACAAGGTATTCTTTCACGTCACTTTCACGTAATTCTCCCATTTCCAGAATAAGTGATATTTTTGATGCAATGCCACCAACTCTGAAATATATATAAAGCATTTCAAATTTGAAATGGTATGATAAAGACAGAGGTTGTGATGAATCAGATGATGTATTAAAAACCAAGTTTAAGTACATTTACTGAATATGGTTTGTTTCATTCTGGTCCATCACACTAATAATATCATGAAAAGTTAAACAGTACAGTAAAACAGTTGAAACAACATGGTGCACCACAAACACATACAGGACAACATAAAAGAGCCCTCTTCTTGAGAACGAAAAGGCGGCACACGTTCGGCCCCCGTCAAAAGAAATAATAAGAGAGACGACACGAACCCGCTTGGTTTACGAATTCCAATAGAATCTTAACAAACCAACTATAAATATTTTAATGTATTGGAACAGCCACTGCAGTTGTAAAGACTTTAGATTTTATACCCAAGTGTATATTATTATTGTATGTATATATTTTAACTTTTAGAACATGTATTGTAATAGTGGCTTCTAACTGTATTGATGTAAAGATGTCCCTCTGATGATGGTCTCTGAAGACCAAAACATGTAAGGGCATAAATAATTGAAATAAGAAAAATCTTCACTAGTCACACTAGACGGAACTGTTTAACTTTTCATGATATTTACTGAAATTGTAAAAAAATGGAACAACTTCATTCATTTGGTAAGAAACTTTATGTATCAGAGGATTAAATATACTGACTCTCTGTCCACGATGGCCCTCTTGACAGAAGTGCATGGGATGCTAACGACCTCCCAGACATTTCCTTCTGTGCCACTTGCCAAGGAACAATTGTCACACAAAATACTGACACATTTGCTGCCCATGTTGAAGTCAACCCAGAATTCTTTGTAGTTCATATCCTATACAAAATATTTACATTAGAAAATATAGTAAGAAAACTGAGTGGAACAGAACCTAAACAATGAACTAACTAATGAACAGTTTCATATACAACTGTACCTTTGGTCTGAAGACTTCTGTATCTCCAAGAAATGCTCTTGCACAAGCAAATGTATATACAAGCTGTTTGCTGCCCAGTGATGAGTTGACAAAATTCAAGAATGTTCGACATTCCTGTGAGGAAACATAGCTATATTTAAAAATCTGCGGACTCAAGTGACAGTGTGTATAGGAGTCTTTCTAGTGACGTGCCTATAATATTACAGTAAGTGCACTCTGGCACAATATAACAAGGAGTTCTGAGCAGAACCCTTAAAGCCTACTTCCCTGTTACACTGCTATAAAATGATGAATATTTAAATAAAAAACAAATGAAGAAAAGTATCACATATAACAAAACAAGTAAACAAAAACAATTCATAAAAATGGAAATACAGCCACAGAGTCCAACATAGCCATTACTCTATTACATTATTCTTATTTTACTCTATTTCTCTGAAGAACTTATAACTTAAGTACAGATTCTGTATACATTAAATTTGTTGGGCATAACCTCAACTTTTCACACCACTGCCATATTTATAACTGTTGACTTAAAAACTGTATTTCATACTCAGTATGTAGGTATGTTTCTGCTCCACCTCATAAGCGTGGCTCCAGTGATTCATTAGTTATTGCCATTAAATGTAAAAATAATGTGACTACATTCTTAGTGTCTTGCTAAACATTGTACCAAGACTGGTTTCTGTGTCCTTTGTCAAGCATGCCTCCTATACAGTCAATCAAACAGAGTAAGAAATTATGTAGAAAAACAAGACAGGTAGTTTATAATGTTAAGTTCATGGGAAAAAAACTGCAGCGAGTGAACATTTACAATACTAGTTCAACAGATATATAAAAGAGCAGCAGCAATGGGAATTTATGTACATTCTGTTCAGAAAGTTACACAAGAGGTGAAAAACAGTGATGCTGGAGAAGGTAGCGCTTCCTATCAAACTCCAGATAACAAATGTCAATGCTGTGTGAAGCCAGTTCACTTCACTGATTTCAATATAAAAGTAATTAGGAAAACAACATACAACTTTTACAGCGTGGAGATGTGAGTGCCAAATGTGTTGGGCTTACAAATGAAACTTGCAGAGTCAATAAATTGTCACTGTGGAAACACATCTCTCTGACAAATTATTATACAACTGGGATTTAAAATTTAAATGG